GTTATTGTGATAAATGTCAACATTTATAAGTTTTAAGATGAGTTCTAAATTATGCTGAGGTGACAGATAATGATGGTGGCTTCTGTTAATATTCCTCCTGTGTATAATTTCTAATGATGAGTCACGCTTGAACAATATCATGAAAGTGTTGATTAAAAGACTCTGAACTAAATTTAAAATGGACGATACTTTTTTTGTATGTGCTGAACAGTGTCACATGCTCTGTTAGTCTGCCTGCCAGGCAGAGAAAGTTGGTGTAGAATCCCACATGCAGGCAATCTGCTGACTGATTCCCAGCCAGGCCCGGCTCTGTCTCATGGCAGAGTGCTGGGCCAGATGTGACTGCGGTTGTGCCTGCATTAGAGGAGAAAAAAAAAGTGCTGTTACAGGAAATGGATCCTTTTAAAAGGAGGAAAGGGGAGAAAAGGAAGCAGAGCTGTAAACTATTGTTCTTGTGTTCAGAGGACAAAACCAAGCCAGTTAAATAGCTTCATATGCCAACACTTAAATTAGTTAATAAAGGCTGGGGTCCAAAGTATTTTTTTAAAAACCTTGAATACCAGTGAAGGTTCAGCACTACCCGACCAAAAATTAACAGTGGCTATTTACCATGGAAACTATGACTTATGAAATGTACACTTGCTTTAATTATATGTTTATGAGTGTTGTTTCTTTTATTTCAACAACTGAAAGTTTGTCAGGTAAACAAGGATGTTTTAATATGCACTAAACAATTGTACAAATGAATGAGGAATAAAATAATAGAGGTCTCTTGTCTGGAAAATTGTCCATTAATGTCAAACAATGTTGTTTTTGAGAGAACTGCTGATGGAAGAAAAACAGGCTTCAGGGTGTTTTAATATTTTCCAGTACAGCTACAGAGGAGTGTGATAACGCAAACTCCAACGCTATCTAAACCTTCATCGGTAAAGGTCAAGTTTTGGTGTCTGTCCAGGCTTGCCATTTGTTTGATTTCAATAATAAAGGGTGTGATGTAATGTAAGAATGTCAGGGTTCACCCGCACCTCCGCCTGGAGAAACCAAAATGCAATGTAAACCCAGCGTCTCCCTTTGTGTAATGAAAAAGCAAATTTTTTTACACAGTTATGTCTTACAAGAAGGCTTATACTATCAGCAGGGGGATAGAAGGAACATGTAATGCACAGAGCTACAGTGAAATTAAAGTGTGACTTAAACATACTTGTGGTACAATTTGAGGGCATTCATCTATTTTGTGCACAATTACACAAAGCAATTTTTTTTTTAATTTGAGTTTTTGTAAACTTCCTGTGTTGGTGCCTTTGAGTCCACAGACTTTTTAGACTATCCCAGATTTCTGAATGGAACCACACACAAAAGACCGAAGTAGTCGCAATCAAGAAATTCTTATTTTCTGAATGTTGTTGCCTACCAACATGTGCTTATCTCAGATCTACTTCGTTTTGGTTGCTGAAGTGTGATCAGCTTTGAGGAGCTGTTTTTCTACTCAGATGAGAATTTCTTTGTGATGAGCGCAAAAGAAAGAATACCAGTTATAGCTACAAACACGAGTGAGTCATGACACTTCATCTGCAGCTTTCATGAGTGTGAAATGAACTTATGAAATGTCTAAAATATATGAGTTTCTTTATTTAAGTGCTCATATTTGCAGTTTTATTTCCCTTCTGTGATAGCTCAGTATCTGCGGGTGGTTAGACAGAAACAAGCAAAGCCAAGCATCATGTCATGCCATGGACTTTGCATTAACTATGAATGGACACGTCAAAATACATCTGGCTTTTCTAAGTCACAGAGGAGGTGAAACCAACGCCAGTCAAAGTGTGTAACAGATGCGTTTGAAGTCATGGCCTGACATTGTTTCGGTACATTTGAATTCTTTATATTTTCTTTTTTTTAATCTTTTAAAAAAGGTGTCTCTGAAGTTGATCCACAGGGGACTGAGACATTATCCTCCATTGTTATTCACAGAGGGAGCCTTTTTTCCAGAAAGGGAATGTGAGGGAACAAATTGGATTTCCAACGAAAGCCATTCATATGTGGCAGGTCCTACATAGTCATTGAGATTTGCAGGAAAAGTTCATACTGACCAAGAGAAGGGCTGCTCCAGATGTTCACAGATAACAGTATAAACACTTAATCCTTTTCCTACAGCTTCAATTGACAGGAACATCCCCTATTGGGTTCATTTCCTCAGCTCTGTCAAGATTTGCTGCCTCAACTGTGGAGACCATTGGTAATAAAATGGTGCAAACAAAGAACAAACATTGTTGAACAGCCATCAAAGAAAAAGCAAACTGACCTGTGATGTTTTAAAAACTGATGATACCCGACATTATGGCTGGTTCATTGGCATTCATTGTTTTCTAGAAATCAACGTACACAGTGTAAAAATATTAGTCATTTTTTTAAATGATTAATCTTGATCATGTTTTAAGTAGTAAAAAACTACACTGAATTTATACAAAGAACATATTTAGTACTGACAATTTCCCCCCCTGTTTTATACAAGATTGAGCTTCTGGGTGCCTTAGTTTTAGAGTATAAATACATTTCTATTGCTGCATTGGAAGAATGTTTAATGTATGGGGATTTTAAATAATGTGCTGAAGCTTTCTGCCATGCAGAGGACATTAACACCACTGGATATTAAGATGATTGTATTATCATTATACCATTTGCTACTCAAATGACAACAGGAGTGCACATAATCCAACATGAAATGTCTGTTTTTAGTTAGAAAAAGATGTCACCATTTCCAGTTTTTCTAGTATAAAAAATAGATTTGTGAAACATACAGCTGTAATGTGCAGAGTGATTTTGTTGTTGTTTTTTTTTAACCAATTTTTGTTTGCAGTAAGAATGAGGGGTTGAGGGGAGCACACAAGGGTAGCCAGGACCCACTGGGTTCTTTTGCCAGCCTGGTGAAAGGAATGAATTATTCAACTGTAAGCAAGCTTTCAGCTGGCCATTTGTGTGCTTTGATCTGGGAATCAGGAGTTTGCATGAATGCCTGTATTGTCATGTTGTGTTTCCAGTGTGTGAATTATTGAAAATGGTGCCGGTCCCCGCTTCATCTGGTAAAGTTTACTCTGCGGGTGCGCTGGACAGGAATGCTAAGACTTGTAAATCCCCAGATGTTGTTTATTTATAGTATGAGGTCACATGACAAGGTTCAGTCAGACTGGGATAAGAGCCTCAGGGTCAACCAGCAAACTACGACATGAAACCAGACCGCTCTCTGATGCCTGTAAAAATGTGTTGATGTGGCACACAGGCAGGTGTTTCTACCATCAATGATCTCCTGTTGCTGAAGAGTGGGTTAGTGATTTTGAGATGAACTCACAAATCTTTGATAAAAGCTGGTCTTTCCTTTTTGTCATTCTAAGTTTGTAACTACGAAAAATCCCTCTCTTAATGTTCTTTTTTTGGTTTATTTCTGATATGTTTTAAGATTTTTTCCTGGAACTTGTCTTGCATCTGTTGACCCTAAACCTTATCCACCTCAACCTGGTATCTCAAATTAAAAGAATATGTCCATCCTTTCCAATCACAGAATTGAGCTATAACAATTAGTCGATTGATTGGTAATGCTGAAAGGTATGAGCAAAGACTGGCTTCTGTATGCATATTGAGATTTGTTGATATTTTTTAAGCAACAAGTAGATTTTCTGAGTCTCTCATGATACGTAACAGAGAAAATATCTTGGTTTTGATAGGTGGGTGAGATAATATATAGATAAATATTATGGATAAAAAGATGATTTAAAAATAATCAAATAATTCAGCCTGAAATTAACTGTATGATCATTATCAGGTTGTAATTGACGCTTCTGTATCCACACCAAAGACGTATTTCATTTAATCACTTAAGCATTAGTGACCCACAAGATGAAGCCTCAACCTTCATGCTTTGTGTTTCCATTATAGAAATGAGGCTGCCCTTCAGGCGCTAGATACATCTGATGTGTCTATTATGTTGTCTACATTTATACCTCTGAGATTTTTTTTTTTGCTTGTGTGCTCTCCTTTTGCGATCCCTAATGTGTTGCCATTGATAGAAAATGCCTTTCCCTCTGATTCCCCAAGATACAGCTTATTAGCACATGTGCGGTACTTTGTGGTCCCATTGTGTCATAACAACAGGAAGGTATTTAATTCATAATTAGGTAAAGGTAAAGAAATGTTTTATTATGACAAGAGGTTGGCTGAATTTCGTAGTGGAGTAAAGCAGATCCGTGGCATTAGTTGGCTACAGCTGGACACATAATTAGAGAGCCTTCCTACCTATAATTTGTGTAATAGTTTTGGTTGGCGGCATGTTATTACCATATGAAAGGGCTAAACAGGGTCATGTTCATTGCTACAGCAATTAGAGCAGAGCTGAGGGCGGAAGAATGTTCGGTGCCATTGTTAATTGGAAATTACTACAAAGCAATGCTTTAATTATAATTTAGTCAGAGCTGCACTGTTTTAAACCCGATATATCCAGTTTCCATTAATGTCTATAATGGTATGAAAAGCTAGGTCTGTTTCTTTTCAAAACGTTGGTCTTTGAAGAGACTGAGGTAGAATTAGATTAAATTTAAAGGCTCTGCTGCTGCTGAGTTGTTGCTTTTTTCATGCTAGTGTAACACAGAAAGACTGGATCCAGCTCTTTTAGGAGGTATACATACCTCTTAATTTGTATGTTCTAAAGATAAATACGCCTTACTCATGATAAGCTCTGTGAATGATTCCAACTGACAAACTGCAATTGTTATGATTGCAAGTATTAATTTGGTCATTCGTAGAAGTAAAATCATGTTAAGTAAACTTAGCTTAAAAAGGTTTCACAGTGGACTTGCCATTTATTTACCAAAATTGTAAATAGGTTGTAACAGCCATGATGAAGCCAACAGGTGTGGCAGGTTCGTTTTTCCTCTGAATTCACGGAATGACATGACATGATGCAACAAATATAACAAATCCTATAACAAATCCTACATTTTCTGTTCCCGCAGGTCGAAATGAACTCATAGCCAGATACATCAAGCTTCGGACCGGGAAGACACGGACTCGTAAGCAGGTAAGACCAAAAAAAGATATCTCAGTTGCTCAACTGTCAGAGGGCTGTCAGTTCCACATTAGTGACAACTCTCGCTTTGGTTTTCAGCTAAAACAAAGCATGACACAGGTTTAAGATGATGCTAAGCTATGAAGGGGAATTCAGAGTCTGACATTTTCCCTGTTAATGTAATTGTAATTGTATTTATTTTGTAGAAGTCTGTATTAGCAGACGTCCCTCTATTTTCCCGAATAAATTGCTTCACCCTTGAACTTTTTAGTACATATATAGTTTTTAGCCCGAAACAGTGGTTGTACATGGTTCAAGCAGAGGCTCCTCTCCTTATTTAAGCTTTGTCTGCATTATAATCTATAGTATAATTAATGATATATAGATTTTTTCTATAAGACATCAGTTACTGACATAGATTATAGTAGTCTTATAGTTATTTAGAAAAAAATTGTTGCTGTGGTTTATCAAGAAAAGAAACACCCCTCCATATGACTTAATCATACACGATGTGTACTGGAACAGCATTTTTAGTCATACTCTGAAGGTAAAAACTATTATTGGTTACAAATTTTAGAAAAATTACAGAGTTAGGCTCCCATATGTTGTTAAAGTTTGACTGAACAAATTCAACATTTGATTGCTGTATTGATTTGCCTCACTTATGGTGTTGCTGTGAAGCCCACTGACCTTCCCCCTAAACAGGAAATTACCTGTATGACCACTGACTTGAGCGACAGTGAGAAACAAGTTAGTGTCTCTAGTGACATTCGATCACTGTGTGTGAATTGATTAGTCTGAGGCGGAAAGGCATACGGTTTGTCTCTCTGGGACTCAGGCACAGTTGTTTACCCACAGCTACACCAAGAGACGCATCTCTTCCTGTTGTTTATTTAAATCTATGTGGTGCACAAGACTACCGCTGTGCACACCTTTCTGTTTATTCTGAATTTACAGTTATGTCCAGACGTCTGACTGTTAATGTTAATCATTTAGAGTGTCTGTATCAGTCAGTTGAGAAAATGACTTCCTCATAACTTCACTAGTTTTTGTTTTCAGTGTTTTTCTTCTGTGCCGATTGATTGCAGATCTGTTGGCAAATTAAGCTGACGCAGCTCTGCACTAATTAAAAAGTGTTATGAATCTTTGCGTTCTGTTGCTTACATATTCAGCTAAGTGTTTCAGGTCTAATTCTTCCCCTTTCACCCATGTTTTGTACCTGCTTAATCTCATTCAGGGTCACTGGGGCCTCTCCCAGGTGTAATAGGGCAGGGCATACTTTTGACAGGTTGACTGCATACTACAGGGTCAGAATCAAATGAAACGGGAAGATTTGAAGTTAAGATATTAATATGGCAGCTGGGATGGGCTCCAGCCCACCTGCAACAAGCAGATATTGAAAATGGACACATGAATAAGATAAATAAAAAGCAATATTTGGTCACATAGGAGACAACAGATGATCCTTTTCTGTGAAATCCCTCCAGACTCATTAGAGTAAACCCCTTAAGCGTGAATAGAATCAGAGCATACTATAAATCTGCCATCAAATCAAAGCTGCCATCAACACATATTACTTCTCACTCAAACTGGTACTTTCATGGCAGTTTCATCGATGAGTTCATGATAATTTTCAATTGTGTGAATGACAAAGGTAGACTTAGCCAGTAAAATGCCTCCCCCCAGCTCCCTTAAGAATATTAGACCAGTCAATTTTCATTCAGCACACAGCAGATCACATCTGTGTGCTCTTAATGTGTGCTAAAGGGGCCTGCATCCTCCTTAATCAGTTCATTTAAGTGACGACAACACCACATAACACATTATTGGCTGTTGGCTTGGTGTGTGGTCCGGAGATGCGTCAGTTATGCACCTCATCTCCTTAAAGTGTTTTTAAACAGAGAAATATGTGATCCACTCTGTACTTTTTCGGCTCTTCTTGTTTTTTTTATTTTGCCCTTTTCTCTTTTTTCAATGGAGGTGTCTAGTCACATACAGGTCTTAGCAAGAAAGAAAGTTCGAGAAATCCAAGCTGCCATTAAGGTACGTCTGGCTTTGCCCAGTTGCAGGGGGCTTTTCATTGCCATGGTTACAGGCTCTTCCTTTGTTTTCCTCCCCTCCCCTACCCCGCAGGTGTCTAGTCACATTCAGGTTCTTGCCAGAAGAAAATCTCGTGAGTTTCATTCCAAGCTAAAGGTATGCGCTTTTCTGCTTTTGGGCTTGTTGGTTGCTGTGTGTCCTAACTTCCTGTTTCCTGTAGTGACAGAGTGAATGCTTGTTGCTCTGATTCCCTCTAACCTTAACCCTCTGCTGTCTGTAGCCTAACCCTCACCCAGCTTTTCTCATTCATGTCCCACTCAGAGATGCTGTCACTAATCCCGCCTACTTGATTTCATCTTCATCTGCTTGCATTTCATTACTACTCTAACAGCAGTTGCACATCAAATAGATGACGACATGAAATGCTGAGATGAAAAAAAGTTTACGCTCAAATTGGTAGTTATTTTCAGTTTATATTTTTATAAAATGGTGCCTGATTTTTCAGGTATGTGCTCATATTCATAATTGAAAAATATACATAATGCCTCATAAGTGCTCACAGTTATTACTGTTACATGCTGATATTTACCTTTAATAAAGCACTTACTCTGCACTTAGCATATTATGCTAATGTTTTACTAATAGGCACCATAGTCAAAGACCATGCAAGGCTAATCTTTATAAACCAAACAATATAGAATTTAAAACATATGATGGAATTAAAGGGATTCTCAGTAGATTACCCAAACTCGTCGTATTTTGTCCTAAATGAGGAGCAACATTTTCATTCATACCATTCTTTAGTGTAGCATTCAATGAAAACAGAGGGTTATTTAAATCAGGAGAGCTTTTACCCCCGGTAGACAATACAATTATGATTTAAAAAAAGAAGAATGAATAGAATATTTTGAATTTTTTAATGTTTCTATCTGAATCACAGTGTGTATAGATTAATCCATCTCATTACTGATGATGAAAACTATATCCATGGTATTGAGGTAAAAAAGCTAAAATACATTTCCATTTTACTTACTTATATACAGCAGCGCTGTACCTAAAACAGTCCAGTGTATATGCTTATACATTTTTATGCTAACCATTGAAGTTTAGTATGAACCTGCACATACTGCAAAGCATGCTGGGATTGGCTGTTGGTGAGTGGCTGAGCGCTGAAAACTGTCTGCTCACATTTTCTGACTAAGCAGACTTTGTTAAAAGCCTGGCTTTGCGTGAGAGGGGTGGCGTGTCTGTGTTTAACGAAAAGTGAAGCTGATATTGCGCCTTTTCAGAATAACTGAACTTTTCCTGACTGTCTAAGGCTCAGTGGTACACATTCAGAGCTGAGATTGGCCATGAAGCTGGCTGTTTCTAAAATGCCCTCTTTGCTCCCTCCTTTTTTTCCAGTCTGTTGATAACTCCTGGTTGTCACAATGCCATGACTGTCAGTCACTTTCCTTCCTCCCCATTCAGATGTCGTGAATTTCAGAACGTTCCTGCCTGTTATTTCATAAAATTGTGAAATCTGTTAAAATCACGGAGGAAAGCTTTTCAGAATGTCAGATTAAAATGGGAGAGGGGCATTGTGAAAGAAGTCCTCTTGAATCTTACTGACCTGTATTTTTGGGGTATTTTTACATCAAAGGACACTTCCCCATGTGCCATTTTCATCTTTTTTTGTGTAACTCACTATACGTTTTGACTTTCACACTTCTCTTCTCTCCCTGTATTCAACACGAATTAATGACCCCTCATTAATCTCTGTGTGTGTTTGTGTACTGAGAGACTGAGTCAGACAAGCAGCTAGCCACATGAATGCCCTGTCTTTCAGGGGAGCAGGCGGCAGGCTGAAGAAAAACAGACAGCTTTTGTATCAATCCCTGTCTTTTCTCATTTAAAGCAAATTAGAGTTCAGTGGAAAGAGAAATACAAGTGTCCCTTCTTTTTGGGCAGTATCAAAACCTGCTGTTTCTGTCTTTCCTATAGTATTTTAGTGAAATTACAGTCATTACTATTTGGTTTTGTCTCTTAATGACTACTGACTAAATTGTGAAAATTATAGAGAAATTATAGCTTGAACAGGGATCATGTAAATATAAATTTCCCTGTCCATTTTTTATCAAGTGTTTCTAACATGTCTGTACATGTGTCATAGTGTGAAGTAGATAAGGTGGAGGGATTTTTCTGTTCAATGTAGTTTTTAAGGATTTCCCATGCATAACTCATACTGGAATAACTCACAGTGGTTTGAACTGCAAATGTACAATAAAACCCTGTTTGTGTGCATTCAGGTTACGAGTATGGTAAGTATTGCTTTCTATTTGGGACGTTGTTTGGCTTTAATTAGGGCCTGCTTCTCCTTCTTCCGCTGCCACTTTTGCATACCCATCCACTTCAGACGTAGCGATAGTAGCTGCTGCCTCACGTTTTCTGTCTGCATCATCGTCTCCAATCGCACTGTAGCTTGACTTTGCTTCGTGAACGTCTGCAGCCAGCATGCTTGCCAGTAGCTTCTGTCACCAGTGAGTCTGCATGGGTTGCCTGTGGCTGCCGCAGTATTTAGGACTCCCAATTAATATTCAGTTGTCTTAAAAAAGGGAGAAATATCATACGATGTGGCATGCACTTCTCCATATCTTGTCTTAAATGCCCAGATTAACTGCACTCCAGCTGCGTGTCTGCCAGGACTTTAAATTAGCAAAATTAAACTCTGTTAGATGTCACAAAGCAGAGGGAGCAAAGCGGAGTTGTCACTGACTCATAATAAAGTGAGATTGGTGTATGTCAGTTTAACTTGAGAAATTGTTTTGGGAGTTTAGATGTTATGAGTTTTGACAAGCAGACAAATGCAGCCTTGAGGAAACAGCTTCTTAATTTAAAAAGATGCTTTTTGCAGGATATTAGTCAACACGTAAACTTTCAATTCAGCGCATGCCACTGCTGGCCACAGCATATTGGAATTCAGGAGCCATTGTTTAGCACATACCTTTAAAAAAAAGAAGTCTCCCTTTAGCGTGGCTGTGCTGAAGCTGCCTCTTTTAACCTGCTTGCTGTTGGCTCTTGTGAGAAAGGTCGGTGATGCTTTCACTGTGTTGTTTAGAGCCTGGTTGTTTTTACCTCTGCAACATGCCCCCCCCCCCCTCTTCTGTTTCTGCTGTGTGAGTGCTAAGCCTTTTGTGACTGCTTTTAAAGGACCAAGCCGTGAAGGACAAAGCCCTCCAGAGCATGGCCTCCATGTCCTCGGCTCAGATCGTCTCTGCCACGGCTATTCACAACAAGCTCGGCCTGCCAGGCATCCCCCGGCCGGCCTTCCCTGGAGCAGGGGTAAGAGCCTTGCCGGCACCCTGCTATTGATCCATTCTAGCTTCACCCAGGGAAGCAGGGCCAACCGCAGCAACACTCGGGGCCAAATCACATTACACACCACAGCTTTGCACAACTGCCCCTATCTGATAAGCCCATGATGAAAAGGAGTGGTAGTCAAGATAACTACAACCACGGAACACTAAGAGCCATTTTGATCTTTCCACTAACAGCTACTCACAGTTGGATGTTCTTTGTTGTTTGTTCATTGTTGTGTATTTATATTTCTAATTGTCCAGTTATGGCAGGGTATGATATCGACTGGCCAGCCAGGATCCTCACAGGAGTGAGTGTCATTTATTATTGTTGGTTATGAAAAAAAAAAAATCTCTGGTAATTCATTTTGTGTTTGCATCTAGTTTTTTTTTTGTTGTCTTTTTTCTAACGTTCATCTCTTTTTGTTTCAGTATTAAGCCTTTCACCCAGCAACCCTATCCAATCCAGCCAGCAGTCACAACAGCCATTTCAAGTGAGAGTTCACCTGATTTTAAAGCCTGATGATAGATGAACTATTTAAAAAAAATTAAAATTTAAAAAAATTTTCACACCTCAGCTTAACTCCCTGATAAATAAGTTCACCATTTTGCATTCTGTAAAATCAGTACCCTTTCTCATCTTGCATTATTCATATGAAATGTCACTAAACCTTTTTAAGTGCTGTTTTTTCTAGCTGATGGATAGAGGTATGGTCAAAGATTAGGACCAGCATTGGTTGGTTGTGATACTTTGAACCCATATTATCCCAAGATTAAACAGATTGTTGACAATGTTTCTCTTAGGACAGAAGAAAAGGTGGAAACTTTAGCAATGTCTGCTTTTTAGGCGAATGTGTTTATCTGAAGTTTCACAACACACAGTGTTGCACAAATACGATTAGTCAGAATGAAGAAACAGTTTAACGGCAGACAGTTCAAATGCAACTTTAATAATCCGACTTAGAGATACGCTCAGCTCGTATTTATATGATAATTTTCCTAAATTTGTACACAAGAGTTTAATGTGTTTTGCTTCTGCAATTTGTGAATTGCCTTTCTCTGAAAGTATTAAAGCTGGCATAATCAGACCTGAATCTGAACAGATGTCCTCCAATGCCTTATGCCTGGTACGACATGGGTGTTGGTTTTAGCATCTTAAAATCAAAACGTGCAGACTGTAAGAACTACAAAGCTGAGAGAGGGTGAAACTTTAGTCATTGTGGTGTTATTACAGGTTATGAGTCCACAGCAGCTCCGGCCCCCACAGCACCAGCGTGGCAGGGACGCTCTATCGGGACGTCTAAACTCAGACTGGTGGAGTTTTCCGCTTTCTTAGAGCAACAGAGAGACCCAGATTCAGTGAGTGGAGCATTGCACCAAAGCATGAAATATCACTATCTCATGATGTTCATTCCCACATCTTATCGTCCCGTCCTTTCCTCTGAATACACTGGGACATTTTCCCAGGCAGAGAGTCAGCTGAGTGGAAGCCAAAACAAGCTGAGAGGGGAGGAAGTCTGGCCGTCAGCATCTCCCAGTGTTAAAACCTGCAAAAAAAAAGAATGACTCTATATTAAACAGCTCCTTAAAAGGCAGGCTTAAATCTATACGTCATGCACAGACTCACTATGCATCAGCCAACTCATGTTTCTTATTTGCTTTAGCAATTTATTTCCCATCGATAATTTCATCGACACTTTTGGGACTGATATCACATGACAACAGTCATTCATCTTATAGGCAGTATAATGTGTAAATTGTGCATTTGCGCTCAAGGCTAAGTACTGTAGAGGACGCTTTGAGTCGAAAATTGTCACCAAGGGACTAAAATACCAAACAAAAATCCTGTTATTTAATATTCTTTGTTCAATTTCGTTCTAGCTGACTTTTGTTGTTAATATACTGCAGAGTAAAAGTTTAATTATATTAGACTCTCAACCTCCCAACTTTGTTTAAAATTAAAGAGAATATTAGTTTGCTCTTGCTTTAGTGGAAACATAGTAATGAAAGATATTCTTGCCTCATTTGTGCATCATAAAATGTAATAGATTAAACTAATCGGGGGGCTGATAAAAAGCATTGTGACGGAGGGTTATTTTCCATCATCACAATCTAATCCTGGCTGCCTTTTGCTTATTATGTTGCTTATTTGTCAGAACAGGCTTATTCTGCTTCAGGAAAACTACTGTACCGATGACTTCTTTAAATATTGATGTTTTACAGATCCCTTTTTGGTAACCATTTATTGTTTTATTCTTTAGTAGACAATTGTTTTTTACTTTAAAATGAGTTTAAAATGTTTTGTTAACAAAACTGATGATTTTTTAATGCTTTTTCAGTACAACAAGCACCTGTTTGTGCATATCGGACAGACAAATCATTCCTACAGCGATGCCCTGCTGGAGTCGGTGGACATCCGTCAGATTTATGACAAGTTTCCAGAAAAGAAGGGAGGACTGAAGGAGTTGTATGGAAAAGGTCCCCAGAATTCATTCTTCCTCATCAAATTTTGGGTGAGTGCGGCTTATGTGTCAGGAGAATGTGATTTGATTAAAACAATAATGTTCTACATTCTACAGCTGTGATATAACCATAACCCTCTAAACAAAGTGAAATGTTCGGTCTCAGAATCCTGTTCAGTGTGCCCAGGTTAGTGTTTAGTGATTGGGTGTAATCAGGCTACACAGAGAAGATTGCTCTCTTAATGTTTGCAGAATGCACTCTACTATATTTGGACTTGCATAGCAGGAGAGCTTTTGATCAAAGCACTCGCTAATTCAGTCTAATATCTCCAAACAATGGAGTGACCTGGTTGCACTCCTAATGGCTGTTTAAACATTGCATGTATTTCCTCCCTGATGCAAAATGCTAACAAGCGGCAGCCAACAAAGTAGGCCCGCATGCACTTGGACCAAGTCCCCTCAAATTCCTTTTGAAGTGACCGACGAATCTAAAATTCAAATGAAAGACAGAATCTGCACAATAATGAATGTGTAACTACTTTGCTTAATGAAGGAGAATGTTGTTGGGAGGATGTCTCCTCTTTTTATGTCCATAATGAACAGGATGTTCAGGGCATAGAAAGGCTGTCCTCCAGGAGCAGACCAGTTCAACCTCCTAAATCAGTCTTTTAATGTAACTTCATTTAATTCTCTTTAGAGTATTTTTTCCCAATAAGGACACATTCAAATGCTTATTCAGGTGTAGCCTTGGTGTCTGTCTTGATGTGTGATGTATACAGATAATCCTACCCGTCTGTGATCAGATAGATTCTGTATGTCTCTGTTTCATACAACATACTAAAACCTTTTAATATTTCATGGACGTTTTTCTTTTTTTTTTAAATGACAACACTTACAATTAAACAGGGAAAGTCAGAAACCCAAAACATAACAGTCTCAAAGCAAATGACCTGTTTGGAGGTTAATGTTGATGCGATGAACTTAGAGGCAGTTAACACAGGTTAATGGTGATCATTGGGGATCATAAGCAGATCGGAGGCGACATGTTCCGGTCAGTTGACAGTTGACAGTGCTAAAAGAATCAACTTTACTCCCAGCAGGGGGGGATAAAACCTGGCTTCAATTCTCTGAAAATAACTGTAAATATCCGGGTTTCCATTCACTGTCCACACCATTCTCCTGCGACCTTTTGAAAAGCCCTTATAAAAGAAATACGAGTCAGACGATGTCAGTCGTCTGGTCTGAGGTGCATAAACTATCCTGTTTGATGTCCCCAGCTGGTGGCAGTATAGACTGTAATTCAGTAGAAGTAGCTGTTAATAGGAAGTGAGAGGAAACAAACCTTGAAGAGGAAACGTTGGACATCCGCAGTAAGGAAATGGTGAAGGCTCTTCTACTGTGTATAGATTTCTTTCATTTATTAAGAAATTTACTAAATTGTTTTCCCTCCGGATGTGCTTTGGATTTTACCTGAAACAGGAAATAATCACCCGAGAGCAATGTGTTTATTTATGTATTTGTACTATTTCTAATGTTTCTAATGACCTTGCTATCATTCATACCTCCTGAATACAAATCGAAAACAGCAGAGAAATATAGCAGCGAGCTACATAAATTTGAAATGAAACTCAAGCACTTTGATTATTATAAAAATAAAAAACAAATATCAGTTGGTATAAACAGCAATTTTAGTTTCAATTATTTGTCATTGTCATAGGTTTAATAAAGACATGTTTTTATGTTCATTGCTCTAAGTTGCTGTACAGTATATAGTTTAAACTTGTGTTTGAAAAAATGGAAAACCAAATAGTCTGATTTCTGTAATTAAGAACCTTAATGGGACATTTTGTTCCAAACTCTTTTTTTTTCAGGCTGACTTGAATTGCAACATTCAAGACGATACTGGGTCCTTCTATGGAGTCACCAGCCAATATGAAAGCTCAGAGAATATGACCATAACATGCTCAACAAAGGTTTGCTCCTTCGGCAAACAGGTGGTCGAGAAAGTCGAGGTATGGGCTAATTTTCCAGTCCAGGAAATCAAAATAATAACTGTATTATGAACAGCACCAACATAACCCCGTAGGTTTTCGTTTGACGTCTATACTTCCTCTTTTTCTCAGACTGAATATGCACGGTTTGAGAATGGGCGCTTCATCTACCGGATAAACAGGTCTCCCATGTGCGAATACATGATCAACTTCATTCACAAGCTAAAGCATCTGCCGGAGAAGTATATGATGAACAGCGTGCTGGAGAACTTCACCATCTTATTGGTAATCACCTAGCTTAGCTGAAAGCATGGTGTCCTTTATCAAGGCAGTCATTCTTCTTGTCTTTTCTGTTGGGATGTGTTGGTGGCTGAGGGTGGTTTTGAAAGAAAAAAAGATTTAAAAAATGAGAGCTTTGAAATGGGTGACTCTTGCTGGTCTCAAATTCCTCTCATTCCACTGAGGATGAAACATTGTCCAAGGAGCCTCATTATCTGTGAGGGAAAGGGTGGATGAGACAGGGCAAAACTCCTGTTATAAGCCACTACATGACTTTTGAAAGTGTTATCCAACACCATTAGGAATTCAAATAATGATCAGCAATGCAGGCATAGTTCCACGCGTGGCTGTCTGCAAAAGAGTAAGCCTCCCCCTTTATTATTCTAAGGGCTGAAATGGGGCTTAGTCTTCTTAAAGTTATGAGGATTTTCCAAAATGCTAAACTAATATACTTCCACGGGGAGAATAAACTAAAAGAGTCATATTTCCCATACAGTTTTAAAAGCTGTAAATTAACTGTGTATATATGTTATTGGTCTTCATTTCCACCAAGATTCCGGGAATCAGACCCACACTGATTCATGATCAGAATAGTTAAATACAACTAAATTAGGCCCATGATCGGAGTCCAACAGGATGTTGCCCATTCTGAATTCATTTCTCAGATTTTTGTATCCTTTTCTTTTATCTCTAAAAAATCAAAAGCAAATCAAATATGTGTTAGACGATTTGAAAAAATGCTTTATTTGCAAATAAATCTTATTCCTTCGTCCAGTATTTGGTCGATACCTAAAATGCTCTGTCGTTGCATCTTTATGTTTACTTGCCTTAAATAGTTTGTCTGACTGTTTTTCCCTTGCAGGTGGTGACAAATAGAGATACCCAGGAGACGTTGCTATGTATGGCGTGCGTTTTTGAAGTTTCAAACAGCGAGCACGGCGCCCAGCATCATATCTACAGACTGGTAAAGGAATGACTGCCTCTGTCCACCGCACACGCGCTCCAGTTTTTCTTAGACTTACCGACCTCAAAACAAGTGGCAGTGCCTCTATTTGAAAGTCATACTTTGGATTCTCTGTGATCAAGGTATCGGGTGAAGTCTGTTGTTTAAAGTCGTTTTAATATAAGTGTTTATTATGAGACTGCAGCTGTGAATCGCGGTACAGTTGTTTAACGAGTCAATGGGAATTTTATGGGAATTTTCATTTTGAATTTTTGTCCAGTTGGTTTCTGTTGGGTATACATGTGGCCGTGCTAAAGTCATTACCTGAGTTAATCTGATAAATGGAAACAATGTGTTTGGACTTTCTTTCTATGTGTACTGAGAAAAAAAAAGGTGCAGCGGCCTGTGGTGGTGCGTACTGTGAGCTTTGAGGCTGTTTTGTTTGTCGGTTCTGCTCAATTCGTGGGAATTCCTTCTGTAGGTACACAGACACACACCCACAGCAAATAGATTTTCCAAAGAAACACAACCAACGCTATGTATACACAGTAGCTGAAAGCAAGTGGATGGGAACATTTTAAGAATATTGTCTTTAAAAAAAAAAAAAAACCCTGCCTTCACTCATGTATTTATCCCTGCTGAAACACTCCGGATCTTAGACGCTAGTAAGAGAAAGAATTCACTGTGAAATTCTTGTAGTGTCAAATTGTTGTGACACTATAAAATCACCCTGAATCCCTGAAATCCCCCCCCCCCCTTCAAGGATTCTTGTGTGATAACTTCAACCAGCGCGCTGCTGCCTTCACGCTCACACCATGTTCATGTGTTTATGTGGCCTACACACATCCCAAGCCTTAAACATGTTAAAGCTGTATGTGAACTCCAAAAGACGCCACTAAAACTGTGATCTCTACACGGGAAGACTCTGTTTGTTTGCAGTGTGTATACAATACAATCTGCCAAAGTGTAAGTGTACAGTGCCTTAGAATATACGCATTGCCCTTTGTTTTAGGTCTGAAATCGGTTTTGTGAATGAAAAACAGATGAAAAAGTAACAATTTACAACTTTGTGCATCTTAAACATCTCAAATGACAATTTCACTCCTGGAATTCCAGATTTTTTTGTTGGACGTTTTTAAGCCGCAGAACGCTTACATTCAGACAAGTCTCTAAGTTCAGAGAGTTTTTTTTTTTCCTGTCCACAAACGCTGTAATGATTTTATACTACAAAAACAGACTGACTGCCTTTCCTGTTGCAGAAGACCAAAAAAAATATAAAGATCCAGAGAATGTTTTGTCATGTCCTGACTTATAGCGAGGAAGTGCCTTTGGTTTCACATTTCCAGCTTCAAAAAAGAATCAAACTCAAACTAAATTTTAAATCTTGCCAGACCAAAAATGACATAAGTGAAACCAGTCACCACATTGCCTTGTTAAAGGACTAAGGACTGACTGACAGCAGGGGGAAGACAGACATTGGTTACAAAGATATAGGATATATTCTTTTCTTTTTTCAAACAATGTAAACGTAATTTTAAAGAAATACATATTTGAAAAACAAATCTATTTCTTTGCTCGAGGTCAGACTCCTGCTCACTGCCGACTCAGAAACATTTAAGCCCTTTGTGCGCACTTGCAGGCTCAAGTGTTTGTAAAAAGTTTTTTTTTTCCTCTTTCCCATGGCGACACACCTACAAATAATGACAAGCTCCAAAAACTTCAAAGCAGCGTTAACTTTCATGGCACAGGCACAACTGTGGTGAATCATTCAGTATCCAAACGGAACGCTGGAGTGAAAAGCGCAAAATCACAGTTAGGACTGCTTTGTAGATACATCTGAAATGTTTTTGTTTTTTTTTCCTCTTCACAACTGCTGCTACAGTTGTTTGGATGGGGGCATCAAGGCTAATAATTCCACTGCAAGGATCATAATTACGCAATCGTTTCACCGTTTCTTACAGAGATTATAATCAACTGAAGTATTTAAACAAAGAATCTCTAAATAACTATAGACAGTGTCTTTGGAGGATGCAGATACGAGTTTAGTCATTCAGTATTCTTGCCACAGTTGTGTGGAAACCGTGGAGTGGTGATAGGGTTTATATTATTTTCTTATGTTTACCCCGTGTATCTGTTGACATTTATTGATTACATACTGTAGTGAATTGTTCCTGTTTACTAATTGTTCTTGTATACTTGGTTTTGTGATGAAATTGTCTGTAAACTGCAAGCCCAGTAAGATGGTCATGTTGTCACTGCTGTACCGCTGTTACACTTTTACACTACAACAGCAGGACGGATGCCTTCGACGGCACAAATGACTGGCGGGCCATTTCACACTGAAATGGACGCGCAGACACACGAAAACAGCTCAATTCAATCATGCTACAAACATATCAGCAGTTTGGCTTTTGTTACTTGTACATTTTTTCAGAGTAGGTACTGGTACCTTTCTGTCTTCTGACCATCTCTGATGGTGGCTTTAAAGCGAGTTTTACCCGGCTCACCCATAGCAGTCATTCACTCTCTTGGGTTCTGTGTGCAGATGTTTTGTTTTTTTTTTGTTTTTTTTTCCGTTCATTCTTATTGTAAAAAGGTGCTTTGTATAAAAGTTTATCTTGGCTTTTCTTGGTACAGATGTGTGATATCTTTTCATATCCTTGACGGTAAAAGTGTTGGAGCAAAGGCGAGAGAAGAAGCTGTGCTATGTTTCCGTGTTCTGCGTATGGTCTTGTCTTTGCTCCGTAACATCATGATGCCTTCTAGACAACAGTACATATTTTGTAGCTCCCTAGATACTTTGTATGTATGCAGTATTGAAGTAAAATAAATCTGAAAAGCACTCGCTCCTCCTCGTTGTCACTTGAATCAGACCTGACGGTCGAGTCCCTCCCCTTGTCTCACACACTGAGAGCTGGCTTTTGTGCTGCCGGCTTCTGCCTGAACCCCACATCAACAGCAGATGGAGCCTGTCCTCCCACCTCACTGTGAACTTCTGTTTAAACATGGATTGCCTTATAGACAAATCTCCACCAGAGGGAGACACAGTGTAAAGAAAGTGAAACATTTTCTATTTAACTCATAAGACTGATAAAATTTGATCACATTCAACATTTAAAGCGACCACTGGGGTGAATAAGTTGATGGAAGAAGTTGGCGCTAGCTATCAGGAAAGCGTGTTTAAACCCACCCTGGTTTTAAGACGGTTACATAGAGGACGATATGCTTGCAGTTAAGCAGTTGTTCCTGCCCTTCATTTTTGTCTTACAGTAGCATTTGGAGGCTGTGTGGTCTGTCCACAGGGCAGTGGGGTTCCTTCAAATCCTGCGTGAGCAAACCACAGGCATGGATATGGAATGCTGATAAGCATTGTGTGGTCATTTCTAACACGTTTGGTACTGACATTACACAAGTCCAAATCAATTACCAAAAAGCATTTCGCTGACCAAACCATTATTACTCACCTGCTGTTTCAGGAGCGTTTGGATAAAGAAGGAAGTCTGATGTTGAGCCTTGTGTTCACAGTTGTCTATATGGTGGGGAAAAAATGCCCACAAACCTTCATGCAAAACAAAACAGGAGGAACATGGAGCGGGAGCATCATTATTTGTGGAATGTGCTGCCACCTCCGGCCCTTTGCTATCTGCAAAAACCAGGTGAACAGTTCATTGAAGAGCTATGCAAAGATTTTTTGCAGCACAGGCGCAAAATTCAGAGCTGCTTAATGTCCGTTTAGTTAGTGTTTGTCGTTTGGAGGATAGATTCCTGACATATCGTATGAGTTATAATGTAGCACAAAACTTATCCAAGGACAAGCTGACAAAGCCAGAGGTGAATCCAGTCCAAACAGAAGAAAACCGCTGTTTGTTTTCTTTCTTTTCAGTTAACATTTTTCTGCAGATGCAACCTGAAATCATTCAGCCAGAAACGGGTTTGTGTGTAGTTGTGCATTAATTACAACATCTCACGAGCACACAAAACCTGAATCAGCCCTTTCTTTTATTTCTACTTCTACACTGTTTTAACTGAGTCATTTCACCTTTATCGTTTGCTTTATTTTTGTGTCATTTAAAAACGGAGATGTAAGGACTCAAAGATTAGGAAATTCAACCTTTTAGTGAGCAAACAAGCAGGAACAATAGCTAACAGAGGAAAGTGTGTTTACCAATTTTTTTCTCTGCTAAATGTTTTGTTCTCCCCATTGTGTTCCGCTGTTTGTTTGTTTTGTTTTTATTATTGTTTGTTGAATAGCTTGCTCTCAGGATTATTACTTGTTTTCTGTTTTTCCCCTGGGTTTGCAGCTCAAGGCCGACACAGTAAAAAGTTCATGTTGTGCCTTAATCGATGCTACGCAAAGGTTACAAATCTACAAAAAAGAGGCCTGTGATAGCATCTGTTAAGCTGTTGTTTGCAGCAAGGAGAAGAAATTAGAAACAATTCTTATCGCCTCAGGGATTGGAGGGAAAATTAAAAAAGTAATACTATACTGCCATATTTTATATCACATATAATTGCCTTATGTTTGCTTTTTACTTCCATGGGATGCTTTTCAATTCTGTGCATTAAGAAAAAAAAAGAAGCTTAAAATAGTACTGAGATCATTATCACTTCACGGATTATATCATCAGCACCGGATCCCACAGTTCACCACGACATGAAATCCTTCCACTGACTCCTCTCGGCGGTCATGTGACCCTGGCAGAGGCAGTCAGGAGGCAGCAAAAAAAAACACTCACAAGTGTTTCCCAGGTTGGGCCTGCGAGACGCGCTCCGCGGGGTTGATGGAGTGTCCAGCCTCCGGCCCTGTGGGACGGCCCCGGGGACGCGGCGCTGCCGGACTGTGATGCGTTTAGATCACTCTCAGGAACGTCTGTTTTTCTTTAGTTTGCGTCAGAAAACAACTGAGCGTTTGCAGGAATCAGCATGGACCCGGAGGAGAGCAAGATATCAGTGTGGGTCTGCCGGGAGGAAAAGCTGGTCCTCGGCGTGTCAAAGCGCACCACCTGCGCGGACGTGGTCAGCGTGCTCCTGGAGGACCGGACCTCGCACGGCCTCTCCGCGCAGCAGTCCTACTGCGTCGTGGAGAAATGGAGAGGGTTCGAGAGGGTCCTGCCCAACAAGACCAAGATTTTCAAGCTGTGGCTGGCGTGGGCAGAGGAGCAGCGCAACGTGAAGTTCGTCCTGGTGAAGAGCGACGCGTCTCTGGCCGACCGCGGCGCGCGCAGCGCCGAGGCGCGCGTGGTGCCCAGCAAACAGAGCCCCCGGGTGACCAAAGGCCCCCAAAGGACCCCCATGGGTGGCCTGTCACCCGAAAAGCAGCGTCGGATCGTCCGGAAAGCTTTCAGAAAGCTCGAGAAGATCAACAAAAAGAGAACCCGCGCCGCGCAGCGGGACGCGTCCTGCGCAGAGAAGATGGAAACTTTGGTCCATCTCGTGGTTTCTCAGGACCACACCATCCGCCAGCAGGTCCAGAGGATTACCGAGCTGGACGCAGAGATCGAGATGTGCGAGGCCAAAGTGCACTTTGACCGAATTAAGAGGCACGGGATTAATTATGTGCAGGACACGTATTTGGTGGACGCGGCTCCCGTCTCGTGCCAAGAGGGAGACGAGCCGGTTTCGAGTGAGACTTTTGCCAACTTGGAGCAGTGCGTCCGGCAGCGGGAGGAGGTGATTCGGCTGCAGGAGGAGCTGTGGGAGCAGGAGGCCCTGGTGGACGCGGTCACGGCTCAGATTCAGGAGGAGCTGAACCAGCGCTGGATGCGGCGGAGGAGAGAGGAGCCGCGGGACCAGCCCTCCCAACCCAGCGGGGTCCAGCCCTGCGTGGACACAGACGCAGCGGAAAACCAGCTGTTTGTGGAGGAGGAGAGGATCAAAACGCAACTGGACGCGAGTTTATACATCGGTCTGCGCCTCAACGCGGATTTAGTCGCTATTAGGGGCGATTTAGAGCTGTCCCAGCAGCTTTGCGAAGCGAGAGAGGAGGAAATGAGGGATTTGCTGAAGAAAGTGAACAGTTTGGACATGGAGGAGGGGGCGGGGGGCGAGGGGAGATGCGGCGAGGCGGCAGAGGATAAGACGACAGAGAGCACTTTGGAGAAGAAAAGCGGGTGGGTGGAGCAGGCCAGAGGACTGACCAAAGCTCTCAGTGGCAACGACGACGACTCGGACACTGGATTAAGTTCCCTCCACAGTCAGGACTCAGACAGCCTCCCGGTGTGGGAGTCACTGGTTTAGGATCTGATCAGGAAAGTTGACAAAGATCACTGTCAAAGACTCAGGGATTGTTGTCTGAATTTCTACAGCAACCTTTGTATGGCATCATTACAGTTTCCTTAGTTTTTCACACATTTTAAACCTCATGTTATTTTCACAACACATATACTGTTGCTCTGACATGAAAATAAAACAAAATACTGTTTTGGATAATAAATATGTTCACTTGTTTGTTTGTTGTTGCAATTATCCAAAAAAAAAAAAACATATCAACCCCTATTATTAGTTTAAAGATACAAAAAGCTAATGAAAAAGTTATAAATCAGATTTCTACCATCTCTCTCATGATGCACAGCTCAGAGGACAACAGGGCAGCTCAGCAGAACCACCAGACAAAGATGTTTGGAGTGAGTCTGCTGATGTAGAAACAAAATCCTCTCAGCTTTCACTCTGACACCGACACCTAAACCCATGAGAAAAAAAACCCGCTTTGCCCTTAATCATTAAGTTAAAGCAACATCTGAAGTCAAAACACAGGCTGGGAGTTAAAACCCCACAACTCACTGGGCAGAGGTGACCTTTCTGTAACAAAGGATAGAAGCTGGCGTTTTGCACACAGAGGTAAAGAGAGCGTTTCCCCGCCGGCAGCTGTTGCCACTGAACCTGAACTCTAACGACTGAATATCGCTGCTCAAACAGTGGGACAGCACTGTCTTTAATAGCTTCTGAGTTCCCGCAACAGTGAGAACTAGTTCTCCAAGTGTTTGTCAGCAGTGTGAAGTGAAGAGGCTCGACTCGTCATTTAATTTTTGAAGAGATCCTATTTAAAAATGTACTCTGAATCTGAATACTTCGAATTTGTCAAAAATATCAGATTGTTATAGTGTTTTCTCTTTGGTCATCACATCTGTTCACTGTATCAGGTGAAACGTCTTCCACAGCATCAGTCTTTCAGTTTAAATCTAAAGTCTGGAGAAAAAGAAAGATCATTTAGGTTGAGAAACTTTCTCTGAAATCAAATTCGTCTCTAATATTGGGTGTATTCGGTCAGATATATTTAAAAACAACGATACCCAAAATCAACTAAATATAATAAAACCAAACAATGAAAAAAACGCAGGTGCTCTTCTGTTATTTCCTGTTTCCAAACTGTGTGCAGCTATCACAGGAGCCATGCCGTTCAGACAGCAGCACCACACTGGAAATCATATAACCACAAACATTTGTGTTCCAGGGTGAAGACAGAAATATTATCCAGCGGAATAAAATTACACACATGCACATTTATTAGTTTCTGTCTCCAGCTCGGAGAATTAGAGCTGTATTAAGTTTCCACCCTTGATAAAAAACCATCCATGTGTTTCTTTATGATTCAAAACACAGAGATACACAAGACAACACAAGAGTATACATTACTTCCTGTGTCCCCAGAGTTGTGTGCTCAGAGTACTTAACAGGTGTATTGAAAACACTCGAGACAATAAACGATGGACATGGCGCTTTCTCAGCATATACAATGACTGCCTCACTGAGGAAAAACAAATGTTATGAAACCCTGAAATGAGCGAGTGCCAAAGGAATACCTTTACACTCTGATGTACAACAAGATGAACAACCCGGGAGATGTTTCCATTATTCTGCTCCATGTATGTTAATACTGAAGGTATAGGAGATTTAAAAACTGATTTCATTCAAACTAGTTGACAATAGTTAATAATAATAATAATAATAATAATAATAATAATAATAATAATTATAATAATAATAACAATAATAAAAGTAACAATTAAAAATCACACGAATGGCCTCCATAATAACAACTCTTTATCAGAGCTGAACTTTTTCCAGACTCTAATGGAGAACATGAGCCGTCACAGATGATGCTCCTTTCAGCACACAAAACTTTGCCAGACGGAACATTTTTGGGGAAACCTACCAGGTGAAATGTGCCTCAACAACTTGTCCCGGTTGCTCTGACCATATGGAGGTGGCTTTACGAACTTCTCTCCACACCTTCTGTAGTTGTGTAAAGTGTTTTCAGACCATTTGCAGGATCAACCTGAAACCACAACATGAAAATCAAGTTCATTGTCAGTGGAAACGGCTCATTTAAAAGAGTTTAACGTTTAACAAAATACAGACAATTTAATTGCTCTTAATCTGGAAATACACATATCAGAAAACATGCCGGACTGCATGCAAACGGGGGGCTTCAGCCCCTCACCATGGTTACTTTACTATAAGAAGTTAGAAAGGCCGCAGAGGGAAGACTCAAGCAAACCTCTGCAGGAGTTAGGAATGAGTTGTGAAACGTTTGTAATCAGGAGAAACACAAGAACACCCTCACACACGACATTTTGCTGTCTTTATTCTTTGTATTTAGGGCAGCAGCAGTGTCAGACGCCGTAGAGGCGCCGCGGTACATTCTGTGTGAATGGCAGCCCTCCCGTCCCCTGACAATATGCCGCCGTCTCCTCTGTGATACACTCAGGCCCTTTGTCACACAGAGGGCATAAATTAGTCTGACCTGGTTGAAGAAGCTGTCATCTCAGGGGCAAAAGCGTGACAACGCCCTCGGAGGAAAACAGGGCCCGTATCGCTGCCCGTGAAAAAGCTGCATGCGTGTGCTTTTATTTACGAGAATTCGCCGGAACTCTGGACTTGTTTGAGGTGAAATTCAGGAATCTGAAATTTCCCTCTTCGAAGGGTTTCGTTGAGCAGGTCTCATAAAAGAGACAAAAGGGGCTGCTGGGATATCAATCTTAAGGGAGAATATGTCTCCAGAGGAGCCTTTTTGTTTGTGTTATCATGCAAACATATCAGGTATGCTGCCTTTTATGGCCACTTTCACCTGTGTGACAACGTCAGGGCTGAGGGAAGAGGACTTCACAGCGAGTGTGAGCTGTGAACCCAGCGACAACCTTTCGACATGGGTTAGAGGCACGGAGACGGGGCTGTCAGCTGACTCTCTCAGCCGGACGTCACCGAGGTCAGCAGTGGGAAGCGGAGGAGGCCACTTAAGGCAAAGGGACTCCCGGTCCCTTTGTGGCTGGAGCTGGGGGGTTGTGCACGGAGCAAAGGTCTCTGCACAAACCACGATTGTGTCATTTCATTTGTCCATAATGAGAAACCACCAGAGCATCAGCATGTGAGGACGAGTCTCCAACAGCCTGACGAATACCGTCCAACAGCAGGAAGGTGGGGCTGAAAATGAATGAAAAAAGACAACTTTGGGAAGTCAAAAAGAGCTCAATTTGAATTCAAGCTTTATTCTAAAAAACAATTACCTGATACAGCATGTGTTGATTTTTTTAAGTGTTCAAGAGCTGTTTAATTTCCGCGATGCTTGAGATGAATTGTTGCTGTTTTCTTATTTGGTTTGGTGTTTTTAAGAGTCTTCAGGCTAAATTTGTGTGGGAGTGGGCCTTCATAATCTCATACCGAAAATGTGCAATCAAAGCAAAACAAATGCACGCCGCCTTCTGCATTTCTTGAAATGTGGCCTTGACAGAGACACTTAAGTCTCTGTCAAGTTTATCTTTTTATTTGAATCTCTATAAGCACAACATTTTTGGCTAATGTGAGTATTCTTTATTTGCTGATGTATGTTATTCTGTTGTTGTTGTAGCTCACATGCACACATTTTTCAGAGTGCAGCACTTATATGATAGTTTATTAGCCAAGGTTTTTTACACTATAAGCTATATTCAGTTTTTAACCACCAGCCTTTGTAGGGCTACTCATCAGTGTCCAAACTATCACTATTCTACATAATAATATAGCTGATGATTTCAGTCACAAGTTTGTTCTGGTTCCTTTGCACATTTCAAAGCAGCGTTTAAGCTGATAATGTCAGCAACCAAGACCCAAAAATTCAAAGTTTTTCAAAGTAACCACCATTTTCAAGCACTAATCCTCTCCCATCTATCACCGACAGGCTGCAATATTCAGAATCTTCTTTAATGAAATCTTTTGGTTGGTTCAAAGAAAAAAAAAGTGTGAACTTTACATCCAACCCCAGTGTTGTTGCATGGGCCCCATCTTATTGGCTGCTTGCTACTGATGCAGTTGAGCTGCAGCTTTGGCTCATTTCCTGCATTAAAAAATGCCTGTAAATACTTACTGTCGTAAGGAGAGCAGGAGCACAAATGTCTTAAAGCACGACACCATCGAGCTTGCTCAGGTTTGCATTAGAAGATCTCAGGTTCAAGCTAAGTACCATTTTCTGAAGTAGGTCAATGGTTATTTTTTTCACCCCACAACACACATGGATGTCATGTGTGTTGTGGGGTGATTAAATGCACTCTACAGTAGAACATGTCTAAGATCCTTTTCCTTTTAACTTGCATGTAAGCTGAGCAGTGAATGCTCTTCTTAAAGGCCTTTTCTCTCAGAATAAAGCATAACATTGTGTGCAGACCACTTCAAATTTATCATTCATCAAGAAAAACCAGACATTTTGCGACAGCTTGCATCCCTGATTTGTGGAGAGAGTTTTGAAGACAAGATGGTCAAAACGGAAGAATCAAGCATTGTCTGTTGGTCAAAAATTCAACACAGGAAGGAAAACTAACTCACATATCTGACAGTTTTCTGACAGGAGGTTCCAGCTCACGTCTTTGGCGCAGGTATGATGTCGTCCGAAACGTCAACGGCGCGTTGAACAACAGCACTGTGAAAAGAGGAAAAAATAAATCACCTTGTCAAATTGATTACGCTGATGTGCGCCATTTTTTTTCCCTGTTGTCAAAGCACATTCCTGACATTCAGGGGAAGAAATGAACTTCTCTTAATGGCACCGACTCGCCAGCGCTGGCTAATCCCTGGAATGTGTCACTTTGTGTTCCGGGCAGCCTTTGTTTGGTCTCAGAGAGGGATCCGCCACTAAGTCACTAATGAAGGTACTGACTTGAAAGTCAGGGCCTGAATAGCGGCGCGGAGGTGAAAGCCGCTCAGAGATCACTCGGCCTGCTGCTGGCAGCCGGGGGCCACCGGTGTGCGCTCATTAGGCCTCATTGTGG